TAATCCAAACGAACACCAAGGATATTCAGGAAGCCACTTATTTTGATAACGGTGTCGCCAATATAAAGAGTAGGTTCATGAGAGTGTTTACTCAGTATCATAGCTTGGGTTTTCTTGCTGTTGACGAACAAATAATTTGAAGCAAACCAGGATGAGAGGTTCTTAAGATCTTTGTTAAGAGACAGTTCCAGTGCAGAAATGTCTGTATTAGACGCATAGGCAGCGGTATCATCATCGTTGATAAATATGTTAAATAAGAGTGGCCCCAGAAGGCTACCTTGAGGAACGCCACAGTACACCGGTAACCAATCCGAGAAAACTCCGTTGACCTTCACTCTTTGCTTGCGACCAGACAAGTAGGAATGCAAGAAGTCAATCGCCTCCTCACCAACACCATAAGCGCGTAGCTTTGCAAGAAGCAGGTTATGACATATGGAATCAAAGGCTTTAGATAAGTCGATTGCAATGGAGCCAATAACCTTTTTAACTCGTGAATTGCGCGCATGCGCAAGAACGAGTTATAGATGCGATGTGGGGAATGGCTCTTTGCTTGCGACCAGACAAGTGGGAATGCAAGAAGTCAATCGCCTCCTCACCAACACCATAAGCACGTAGCTTTGCAAGAAGCAGGTTATGACATATGGAATCAAAGGCTTTAGATAAGTCGATTGCAATGGAGCCAGACGCCAGTCGTCAAACATTTTGATCAGAGCAGTGTAGCACGAATGACCGCGAAGAAAGCCAGACATGTTAGACGAGAACAAGGGTTTGAATACGTCGTACAGCTGGTCAAAATTGACTTTTTCTAAGATCTTGGGTATGATGGACAGGACACTGATAGGTCTGTAATTTGATACTAATGTGGCATCGTCTTTTTTAAATACAGGTGTCACATGGCTGAGCTTCCACTCCGTAGGCCACGTAGAGGTACTAATGTAGAGATTAAGTAGCTTTGTGAGGTGAACTGCTATAGATGGTGCTGAATATTTAAGAATCTTGGGCATTATGTTATCGGGTCCGCAAGATTTATTGCACTTGATCCTATCCAGAACAGATTGAATATATGAGACACGTGCAGGTTGAAAAGAAAAGTTCAGCTTAAAGTCGCGCGATGAAATAAAGGAGATGCTAGGGTGGGTCGAAAATTCTTCCCGCTTGAGTTTTAGGGCAGGCTGGTCCAAGACTGGGGTAGAAAAAAATGAATTAAAAAAGTTTGAAGGTTCTTTGATGACTTTGCCGTCATCTATGAGGTGAATATCATCCTGGGAGACTTCCCTCCTTGCGGAGGGTAATAGGGGTTTCAGATTTTTCCAGAAGCTGTTGGGTGTGCTTGCATTAGAGGCAGAATCAGCGCAAAATCGTTTAATTGCGACTCGTTTCAGTTTAGTGAGTATGTTCCTTTGTGTCCTGTAGTGCTCCCACGCGTCTTTAGTGGGATGGCGACGATATTTTTTGTACAGTTTGTTTTTCAAGCGCATAGATTTTTTTATCTCTATATAGATCTAGGGAAGCTGATTAGACCGAACTCTCTTTTTTATACAGGGTGCGTGTTTCTCTACTATGACATTAAATAGTTTAGACCAATGGGTCCAAACTTCATCAACGAAATCCTGTTTTGAGTTTCAATTTAAAAAAAAAGGTAAGGATTTCCAAAGGAAACTTTAGATTGCGAAGTCTCTTTATCAAATGTAAGTCGCATCAAAAAGCTTTTGTATTCAGGCTAGCGTTTTCGAGAGACTTCAAGTATTAAAATTGTCCCTTGAACAGTCAAAATTCCGTGCCTTTTGAAGATATTTTCCAGAGAGTTTACTTTTTTTCCAATGATGCAAATCTGCTCAATAATTGTTCAGAAAGTGTTCTTTCCTTGGGAACAGCCGAGTTTTTTTTTTCCATAGATCTTATTTGTCACGCGCCTTGCCGCGCGTCATAACCGATAACCCATAATAAACAAATTCTTTCCACTGAAAAACATGAAATGGTGATCCTTATTCCTCTGGTCATCACTCGTGATGCTGAATATATTTTAAATGCTATCCTCAGAGATATCGGATCATTACACTGTTTGTGCTGATCTTCGTTTTGTTAAGCCTAATTGGGAAAGGAAGCGTATTTGTGGTCGGAAATTAAAAGCCATCAGCTTGGAACATTTTTAACAAGATGTTGCAATGTCTCCTCTTTTGTCTGAATCATCCAATGATTCAGTAAAATCTCCTGGCTGACCTCAGCTATTTTAATTGAGATGTTGATATTCACCATGATACTGTATTTAGCTATTAAGAAATTTACCTAGATACAGAGCAATTTTTCCAAAACAAAAAAGATTTTGACCGATTATTAAAAAAATTGCAAAGCGGTGATCGAGCGTTAATTAAAGCTGGCGGCGTTACGTAATACGCGGTTGGATTAGTGTGATTATTGTTTCCAAGAACTCTTCAAGCGTAAAACGTGTCATGTAAAGCAAATTTCTCAGAGCACACTCAGCTCATGCCTTTTTAACGAAAATACCACGGAGCCTTGAAACTAAAAGCCTTCCGCGATGCAAGCTGACTGCGGGAGTATTGTTGTAAACCCAAGCTTTGAAGACTGGGTTTACGAGAATGAAAAATATCCTCACGCTTTACAAACCCCAATGAAAAGACAAATCACGTATCGTGTAGAAGAGGAAATTGGTCCAAAAGAAACTAAAGACGACCCGTGGAAACAAAACGATTACCAAAGTACGGTCAGAGAAAAATATCGTGGAGAAGGCAGTCGATCAGCGGTGATGATTTTCACGTTCATTATGTACTTGGTGGCGATCGCTGCATTAGTGCTGATTCTTCTGATGTGGTTCGGGAAAATGGGCGAAAGATGTGGGTGTTCAACGGGCGATGGTAAGTATGTGGATAAAGCTCGACTTTGTGAGAGTGAACAAATTCAAAGCCTCGTCATGCTGCGTCCTGCAGGTACCGATGCAGCTCTTATTCGTTCTGGTGTTCATGTATGCATCCCCCGACTGGTCGCGCAGTTTATTTGAGTTCAGTTCTCGTCTGTGCTTGTCTTGCATGCACTCTTCTCCTTGATCTATAAGCCCCTGAAACGTTGAATACCGGATTGACTAAACCATACGGTTATATTCGGATTAATGTTTTTAAGCTCAACTAAAGATTAATGGCAAAATTCGACGATTTTTCACATCACAACTTTTGTTCAAAGCAAAAATGTCTCCATTTCCGACACTTGCATTTAAACATTTGTCAATATTTTTATTATAACCATGGTTGACAAGGGATGTTTATAATTGCATATCAAGCTTTTTTTTTTATCAAGAAATATCATTTAATGTTTGGGTTTTCTTCAAGCAAATTTTAATCCATGCAAACTGAAAATGAAAATTATGAACGTCATCATCTTTTAAGGGATATCGTATTTATTCATCATTCAAATTTATTGTTAAGCAAAGAAAAATTGTTGTCTTGATTGCGGTTAAGCTTAAAACGGATCATGCGGATAATTTGACAGCGGGTCATAAAAATTTTTGTTATTAATTTTATACTTTAGTGTCATCATTCTAGAAAACAGTCACTTGCAATTTATCATCGCATTGCGCTCCTACCAGCAAGTTTGTCGCTCTCACCAGGCAAATAGATAAAAAGCCACTTATTTTCTACTTGTTTTCTAGTTCCCTGCTGGATTCCAAAAAGAAAATACACTTCAATTAACATTCAAGTAGTAAACAATACGTCAAGAGTGGCAACCGCAATATTGATATGTTTTTATGTTCCGATGTCTATTGTTTCGGGATGTCTATTGTTTTCGATGTCTATTGTTTCGTCTTTTACCGCTTAGACACGGTTAAGGAAAAAAAAGAAGAGAAAGATCATTGTCAAGAGCTCCCGAGGCAGCGAGAAGATTTTTAAGGAAATACTTCACATCACTGTTACAGTGTTAAGGGGGCACTCGCTGATTAACAATCAATGAAATTAAGCAATAATTAGAACTTAGATGTTATTACTCCAACTAATGGAACACTATAGGCTCTGTGATCGCCACTGTGATGCATGAATGTTCGATCAGGGCGCTGACGCACCACTGACGTCATACAAATGTTATTTTACACGCTTTGTAGAACATGGCGCATATTGCGAGATATTTCTAGATTTGGCAAAGAATGACTTGAAAATGCCAGCTAAGAATTTTTACGAGCATGAAAAAGAGCCGAGTTTCTCAGGCAACCGGAAAAAATAACGGAACATGAAGAAATAGCCAGAACGATTTTTCCTTGCTACGGATATTTGCTGCATATTTTCCTTTGATTTCTACTTTCTTTCTTTAGCTAGAAAAATACAAACAATAGACCCTAGGGGTCTCCAATATGATTGAAATTCGTTCTTGCAACTCGTTTGGCAAAATTTTGTTTGTTTGTTTGTTTTGCAACGAGAAAGGAAAGTCAGATTGATGAAGATGGAAATTTTAATGTCCACTTATGATGATAGACATTGAGCTGATGTAAACTCATCCAAGTTAATGGTGCTTATCTCCCACTTGCTTTTTTATCTTAATCTTAAAGCTTCTTCTGGCAGTCTCTCCACTGGTACACAAAAAGATATATTAACAAGGATAACAGCCCTTGAGAGGAATGTCACAAAACTTCAACAGGGTCTGGTAAGGAGTAGGGTATTCTTGTTAACTTTCTGGTTTTGCTCTTAGTTGCGAAACATATTCCTTTGAAAGGTGTCATAGTCTCGTTCTTTTACATGGAATAAAGCAATTTACAAGTATCCAATGATTTGCAGGAAAACAAAACGAATGAGCTTAGAGTCGTTCATTCTTCGCTTCGAGATCTTGATGAAAAGTTGTTCAATTTAACAATGAAGGTAACATATGGTTATGCCTGTAGTGCTTTAATATCTCTCTTCCACTCTTTTCTTATTTTTTCATGAAAAGTTTTATTTCATTTGGGAATACTCGAGAAATATCACCGGAAATTTACTATTTCCCTTGTTTACACGTTAGCTTAAAATCACCGAAGTAAACCTCCAGGAAAAAGATAACATGATCCACGCTCTTCTTGAGAACACGACTTCCCGTATTTTTCATAAGGTAATTATAAAGCCGGATTTGATCTTTTGTTTAGGATCTAAGAGACTTAAGTGGAAATTGTTTGAGATACTGTGTTGGTGTTTTGTCCTACAGGTCTGACAGTGGTGGCTCAGTAATGTGAAGCACTACTCGCTGACAATAATTAATGACGATCTGCAATGGCACAAGTTAAACAACTTAAAGAGACTTAGCTCTTCCATTTTTGTTTGTTCCTGTTTGTTTAGCACCTACCTTCACATGGCCAAAGTTGACAAGGCTTTCCTTTAAACTGTAACAATGCATAATATTGTTTATTCTTTCCTATTTCTGCAATTATAGCTCAACATGACAGAAATTCAGCTTCAGATGAGCGACAAAGATCTATCTTCTTCCCTAACGGAAACAAGAGAAAATCTAACCACAAAGGTTTGTTGCCTTCGTCTCAAAATGCGAACTAGACAACATTATGCCCTCGACTGCGATTCTCGTATGAGTACTCTACTTGCTGAAAGGACTGCTTGAAATAAGCTCCTAATTACTTAAACATAGTTTATATCCGACATCTTATAGACAAATTTACATCTCATTTCACGCGAGAACTTTTGTCGAATTTCCGTCGTACTGATGCAGCGATAAAATAACATTTAACGACTGGGGATACTTAAAATTCTAAGTAAATCTTAAAATACTTATTGCTTACTACATCGTTCTTGTGTACGATTTTACAGATGCGTGATGCGGAGCAGAGATTGCAAAATAACATTGAAAATTCAAGCCGAACTCTGAGTGACAAGGTAAATACTTCATACTTTTCCCCCTCCCAGCATATTCCGTCCCCAGTGTCAAAAGTAACAATGATAAAAAAAAAAAGAAAAATTCGAATTTTAAAAAGTGGCCTCGTTTATACTGCAAACCTCTGTGTCTATATGCTCAAATGTCTCTGTCAGTTGTTCTGGATTGGTTTATGTAATACACGGAGGTATATATGAAGCAGCGTCTTCTAGAATGGAATGATATTAGAAGCAAAGAAGACGCTACATATCCCCGGATAGAGTAACTACCATCCTAATTTAGAAATTTCCCTTCTCTATTTCTTGGGAAAGTTTTAGATTTTGTCGGAGTGAATATACCACACGTAAGTGGATCAAATTTTAGTGGCACCTAACTAATATCTGAGAGGCGCATTTCGAATCCCGTTGAAGTCTTGATTTTTGAGTCTTCTGTTCAGCGCTTGCTTGAATTGTAGCTCGCTTACGAGGATCATTTCTGCACTTGGATACTGGAATATTGTTAACAATGCAACAGATGTGCACTTATCTCCATTATCCATTAATTTTCTTTTCAGGTAGATTCAGTCAACGATGATCTTAACAAGACACGAAACCACCTAATAACCTCTAACCACGACGTAAGAAATGAACTAGGGGCTCTTAACACGACCCTTATTTTGAAGGTATTTATCATACTATTTTCTAATATGACGCTTTTGTCATTGCTTATCCTAGCGGCGTGCAGGAAGTGTCTCTCATACGAAACTGGTACAGCATAACTCCCCAATAGGTTTTTTTGTAATTCACTGGAAGAGGATCTCACTGCGGCTCTGAAAAGGTCTAGGGTTCCATACCACATGGAGGACCAAGAATGTTTTTTATCCTTCCTCATCATGAAAAAGTCAACGCCAAAAATCTCTTTAGTCTTGAATAGTAAGAACTCCCCTTCCCTAGCTTTCAAGCCTTCTAATTTTAACATTATCGTCAAATGCTAAGCGTTTCGCGGTAAGATCGCTTCTTTGAAATCATTTACTCTAATATATTACTCAGGTAACGTTTTTTCTTCACAGATAACAACAGATTTCCAGGTATTGAAAACAGATCTTAACACAACAAAAACTTATCTAGAAGATGCAGACATTGAGTTGCAGAAATCTTTGACAGCTCAAAACTCAACTTTGACCACGAGGGTTAGTGGCAATATTTTTACTTGGTATTTATGTATATTGTTTATTTTGGTGCATAAGGGTGATACACAAATATCACATCAACTTGTTACAACAGGACCACGATCTCACCATTTGAAGACTCCTTTAACTGTATTTTGAAAATTTTAAAAAATGTAAACAGAGCAGCGAAGATTCCAAATATCAAATACATAAATAATTCCTGAATTGTAAAAATTAAATTTATGGATAAACAAATAAGACAAAAAAAAGTTTTCTTTTGTTTCAATCCTTGCTTTTATCTCACAGACAGATAATTTGGACTCAGCGACAAATCAGCTATCATCGATCCTGGCCACAACCCAAAGTAACCTAGACAGGCTGAATGATACACAGATCAAAAGTACACAAGAGGTACCAGTTAAGGTTAAATTCATCGCCGTTTTTACAGAAGTAGTTTTACAAGCAACCTTGAACCATCTGTATAGATACAAATTAACTTGACATGCCTAATAATTGACTGCCACGGTCGTTGACTGGAAGTATTAAAGATAATTTCTTTGGCTCTGATTTCTTCTTCTCTTGGACATACATTCACCACCGCTGGTTGTGGGAAGGATTGGTCAAAAAGTTTTAGAACATCCCCCAATCTTTGGGCCAATCGAGGTTTTTCTAACAATAGTTTTCAGGATTTTTCATTCAAAGGAATTCTAAGGTAATAGCATTTGAAAGAAGCATTGTTGATATTTGGATTATTTTTTAAATTTAAATTCGCAAGTATGTATCGAAGAAGTAAACGACCGCAGTACTGAGCGATTGTTTACAAATTCTCCCAATATATTTTCTCCTTGGGAAGTATGGGACCTATCGATCAGTAATGATAAAACTGCTATGACTAAAATTACTTAGAGAATGTTCTATTTAGTTTCAAGGTCACCTGTTGTCCATGGAAGCACGTTTGAACTCTACCGATGAAGATCTAAAATCTTCCACTGGCAACTTACAAAACAAAATTGAAGAGCTTAATACAAGTTTTGCAGGCCAGGTATGCAACTTAGAAAGATATGTACAGAGCAAAAATATCAGAGAGTCGCTTAACTTATGTTTACTGATAAACTTGATAAATATATAGGACCTCAATAGCGTGGACGTAAAATAGTGCTATGTACCAAGGAAAGATAATTTTTTTGTTATTTTTTTAAATTCGTTGACGCTTCTAGCACGAGATTTTTATGACCTTTACATAATAAGAGCAAACAGATAGATATGAGAGCAACAAAACACAGTCTTAGGTGTCAAACGGTTTGTGTGCTATTTATTGTTAAGATAGCAGCCAAAATACATCATAAGAAAACTTTTCAAATTTCAATATAGGAAGACAGCATGAAGCTTAACAGTACATAAATAAAAAAATGGGACTTTAAAATTCTTCTTTGTCTTTTTATACTTTAACAGGCGTAAGAATTGTGTGTTGAATGCCTTTTAGCACCCCAGACATTTAATGATCTGCAGAATTTCTTTCAGGTGCAAGATTTTTCAATACTTATCATGTTTGGATTTATTATTATCATTAGGTCAATAGCCTTAGCCAATCCATCACTGCAGTCCATTCGCAGTCTAACGAAACAAAGGAAAGCTTCAACAATTTCAAGATGCACACTGAAAATTCTGTTACATTGGTAAGTTTGCAGATGAGCCGTTTTACTTTTATAATCTGTTTGAGCACATTTTGTTGACGTTTGAGATGATAGCGGATAGTGATTTTGAAAATTCTATTATGAAATTGACAAGAAGTATGATTACAAGGAAATCATCGTGGGGATCGGGAAAAGCACTCGTGATAGAAATGGTGGCAGCTGCTTGTATGGTGGCAAAATATATTGATTTTCAGTTATCAATCAGACAAGACAGCGAAGATAACATGAGCTGACTAACGAAAAAAAAGGGTTCCAAAGTTGTCACGGGTTTCTCATACTTCCTTGTTAACTTCATTTCAAGGAAATGAAAGAAAGGCTGTGGGTAAGGATTCAACAACACATTTTGTGATCTGAACAAGTCTTTTTATAATTGGGTAATCTTTCCAAAGAACCAATTTCAATTTCAGAATGCCAAGGCTATTCCTAAAATCGATTCTCTATGTAAAAAAGCATTAAGAGGCTTCAGATGATAGCAAAGCGTCGTTCAGAAACCTAAAGCATGGCTGTATGTGCAATCAAAACTAAGTAAATTAAATCATGAATTTTACATGGCATGGAAGTTATTAAAATGTTCACCTAAATAAATGGACGTCAAAAGTCTTAGCTTGAAAATATTTCGCATCAGAATGGTGGCAAAAAAAAACCTGAATTGCTGTAAAAATGTAAATCGCCCTTTAACTCTGATCATGTTAAATTTTGTTTTTACCGCAGGTGAATGATGGGCTCAGTAACTTGGAGAAAACGGTGAACTCAACGAAGGACAAATTAACTTCCCGAATAGAAAGTACAGACCTAAGGGTGAGAAAAAATGATATCTTTTGCAATTTGTAAATATAGAGAAATCATTATTTTTCATAAGCTGACCTTTAGTCACTTACACTACCGTTGGTGAAAAATATTAATTCTTATGAAAACGGTTTTTGAGTGGTCGTCGAAAGTAATTCAAAATCCTTTGAGTTTCGTGTAACCTTTAGGTTGTTTCGAGTACTTGATCGAACTATAATGACACAACTAAAACGAAGCACGACTTGGTCAGTTCTTCATGTTAGAGACTAACCCTAAGGAAAGGTAAATATCGTTTAGATTTTAGTCCTAGTTCATGAATCGTACATACAGCAATCAACCACCGTAGGCTATATTTGTTGAATCGGAACATGTACGACAACTGAATCAAAGTCCAGACCAAACTCGTATGATACCGTGCACTTAAAGCGTACTTAAAAACGCCCTAAAATCCCACACCGTAGCATTGCAATTTGGAGGGTTGCATTCTCATTGCACTTGTAATCGATCTGAATAGTTATGTTCAACAGCTCAACAGCACCACCGAAAGACTTGATCAAGAAGACGTCAGCATAATATCCCTTGTTAATGACATCAACACAACATTGTCTTTGAAGGTACTAGAAGTTACCGAAATATATATATATTTTTTTACCTTTTTTTTTTATTTTCTAATTTTTTTATTTAATTATTATTTTTTTTTGGTGTTTTGTTTTGTTTTTTTTTCTTTTCTGGTTTATGTGTTTATTTTAGCATGTTTGTTAAATTATGGAATTAAATTCTTATGTTTCTTCTAGGTAGAGAATGTGAGTAAGCTCCAGGGCCCCGTTGGACCACGCGGTTTTAACGGCTCTCAAGGATTGGTTGGACCAGCCGGACCTCAGGGAGTCAATGGAACACAGGGTCCCCAGGGGGTGATAGGTCCACAAGGTTTTAACGGATCACAAGGGTCACCGGGATCAGATGGACTCCAAGGAGCCATAGGACCCCCAGGACCCCCTGGAGCAGGAGACTTTTCTCAATGTGAGTTCATGACCAGCACGGACATAGGATCCCAGACAGCTTTCCAAGGCAACACTCTTCCAGCTGCAACCAAAGTCATCCTAACTGAACCAACTGTAAGTAACATGAAATACGAGACCTTAGAAACTCGACAGCGTGAAAAAAAAATAGATAAAAAATCTCATTACGCAAACTCAAAAGCGTGATAATGAATTTAATTCGATGATAAAATCCAATATTACTGAAAAAAAAAACAGGAAGAGCTACAGATACGCACTGTTAGGGTTCAGAAAATTGCGGTTAGACAGATTTGCTGATATATGCAAAATTTCAATCGTTTTGCTAGCAAAAACTGAATTATATCAAACAATAGTGCTTTTTGAACAAGAAAACGTCACATTTATAGATGAAGGCTCGCCTATCCGAGCAGTTCTGTTCCACGCAGCCATTCCTCAAATGAAAATGAAGAGAAGTGTGCTGTACGAAGTACGCTCAACAGCATACCAGCATGACATCATTTAGATATGATTTTTGATCTCCCTTTTCCAACCATTATACAGGATAAAAGAATAGTTGGTGTCACATGCTCAACAGACTTCGCCCAATTGTATATCTTGGAAGCTGAGATTGCTCCATCTACAAACAAGCAAGTGTACCGCTGTGAGTGCTATGGAAACCAGGGAAGTGCAGGGACAATCAAAAGTATTCAATGCTTTATGCATTATTGGTTGTGTCCCTTAACAACATAAAAGTGACACGCCATCTATTGCCATGTGTGAAGAAGAAAATGCATTGAACTTCAAGATGGGATCAAGCGATACGAACTAATAAGCAAAAAAACTCAAAATGTCAGTACTTAATGTAACTGATTTTCTTAGTCATTTTTTGAAATTAAAGATGCAGTTGCGTTTTCACCTGCTGTTCTCCTCTCTTAGAAAGAGAAACGTTTTATAAATATAATCATACAGTGAGAGCATTCAAACGAATTTACTTTCCCAGACTTGATTTTAGCTGTGAATTTTTTTAAATCCCTCTTGTTACAATATACCGAATTACTCTCGCCACTCAGTCCGACAACCATCATAAAATGTGCTCTATGTTTCTGTTGTTTGAAAACTTATGAAAACGTTGAGTACAAAATGATCTGTTGTATAGCTCAAGAATTGATATACAGTGATGAATACACGCCTTTAAATGGTGATCCGGTCTCTCCATAATGATAAATTAAAAAGTGGTGGAGATGAAAAAATGTCAGAGAGGCGAATAATTTTCCTTAAAACATCAAAACCATACTCTCATTCCCAAAGTCTAAACATCGATTCTTCGCACTGTCCTGCAAACTTTGTTATTATCTTACTGTGTAATTATAGAAACTTAGCGAACAATCTAACAATATCCACGACATTCAATCGTTGAATATTCTTCTTTCTGTTTATAGCATTTCAATAAAATATTTACAAGGCTGTTTTCGAATTTTAATTTTTTGGTCACTCTTGGGAGTAACATGGGATGGGGTCAAAGGCTTTATTGGTTGTGATGATGAGAACCACTCAGATCAGTATGAGTATAAGAGGTTTTGCACCTATTGTTTTCTCAGTTGAACCGATCCAGCTGTTGCTTGACTAAATATAATTCACATCGCAGTTTCTAGCTTTTACTTTTGTATTCGTCTGGTAGCTAAATAAAGAAATGAACAAGTATACTTGGGTATTAAGGCTTTTAGACTGCTCATTTTCTGTTAAATAGCTTAGAAGTATTTTTTGTGCGAGACGAAAAATTTCCAGCCCTGGAATTCAGCTGTGTGTACCGGTCATCGATAATCAGGAAAGCTAAATGTTCCAATTATTTTAACAGAGTAAAGACCGTACAGGAGCTGCTCTTTTGGTTAATTAAAGTTTGTAAGGCCTGTCGGATAACAGCTACCTATTTCGATATTGGCCTACGATGAACTTTTTGCTGTCACATTTTAAATCATAAGCTTCCTTTTCTCATTTCTGCGTTTGACCTTAATGTGTTTGATAAGCAACTGCCGCCGTAAAAAATGTTTATGAGTGCATTAAGTTAACAAGTTAATCCACAAAACCTTATAAAAACGAGCCAAATCAATACTTTTGACGTGCATTTATGGAGGCGCACAGGTATTAGTGAGCTTAACTGGGATCAACACGAAATGGCATGCAAAGCATCACAAAGCAATTTTTTCTTATTAACGAGATTCCAAACAAATAAAGTACACATGGGGTCATAAACAACGTAACGTTTAAGATTAATAAAACATTGTTTCGGGTGCATCTATCGACCTAAAATGCATGTTCAGCAAAAAAAGGAATAGTTCTGAAGGAAAACCACATCAGCCGACATTGTGACTGAAACTTGAAACAAAAACAGGTTTGCGATGGATGTTCATGAAGGACAGATGTTTGTTAACCCGACTTTCGACGATTGGATTTACGAAAACAGCGTTCCACCATCGCCTTCGAATTTTTCGCGTCCATTGACGTACCGCGCGGAAGTCACTGCTCCTACTGAAACGAGGAATTCTCGCCAGGCACAATATGAGAGTAAAGCACAAGGAAAGAGGAAACCTCCTGTGCGATCAAACCGGTCACAGTTGACCCTCTTGACTCTTGTGTGCTTGGTGTCTTTCGTAATATTTGTGATGATACTTATGATATTCGTTGGAGGAGTATTGAAGGGTTGTAGCTGTCCTGTAAACGAAGGTTAGCACATTATTTTCTTCCTAAAAGCCGTATACGCTGCATGTCTCATTCCTGTGATTGTCGAAATTTCAGGTTTAAGTGCTTACTGTATTTGAAGCATTCTTCATCTGGTTTGGAGTTACGCTAAATAGCATTATAGAAATTTTTTTTTTTAATCAAAAAAATGTATTTGCGTAAAACTAGTAATTAGAGACGGGCTACTAAAACATATGGTCTCGTTTGAACGTTTATTTGTACAGTCAATTTTTTTTTTAATAATGATAGCTTGCATTTAAATTCATAACCCAGTCAGTTTTTGTGATCTGTCTTAAAGTCTTGCCAATGCATGCGTAGAACTTTTTGCCCGTTTCTCTTCATACAGAAAATCGGTAAGATTCAGAGAACGTTCATTTAGATTCCAGCGGGGATGAATTCCTCATAAAAAATTTCGAAAGCAGACATACATGGTAGCAGTCACATTATGCATTTTAAACTTCAGGGTCCAATTGTTCAAAGAGAGGATAACGCTATCCGATGGATAAATCGCTATCCAGTGGATAAGAGTTCACAAAACGTACGATGCTGTCTACAAGAAAGAGATTAATTCAATGTATAGCGTTATCCACCCTTCAAAATACCGGGGCCAGTGCTTGAGTTTAGTCTATGCACAAGCAGAAACGATTTGCATCTTATACCAAAAATTTGTGACCACTTTTTTTAAGGTTTTATCTCTCTAGTCAAATGATTTAGTTTAAACTTTGATCCTACTACTCTAAGGTTGCGAGTGTCTATGCTCTAATTTAGGTAACTTAACTAAAATAGATGAAGGTATCTAGAAATAATTAAATGGTTCGTGCAAATTATATCATCTTCTCACTTATTTATACCGTGACTACAAACTTTAATACACTGTCAAAAAGAGAAGCTGCGAGAATAGCAAAATATATTGTTCATACAGGTAGCGTTAAATACATAGCACTTAGCAACAAAGAAATGAAAGCATGTAGCAGATTGTCATGTACTAAAATCGTACAAAGTGGGATTCCTGTCTTGGGTGTGAAAGTTCGAACAATACTCATAGAGATCTGAAAGAACATTCTAAGTAAATGATAATGGCAGCTTTAATTACTGACATAATCAAAAAATATGAATTATTTACCTGATTTACTGAGAAGTAAATTAATAAAGTCAGAAAGTTGAAAACTCAAGCCAATGTGAGCTGATAGGACCTAAATTCAGGCCCCACTTCTTGGTCTGCCTTTACTGGATAAATCTGAACAGTGAGAACCAAAGAAAAATGATAATGAAGATAAAAAAAACTTGCATGACATTGACTCCAATCGTCTCTTTTTTTATGCAAATCTGGCTCATTCCGTTAATGATTTTAGCAAACATCACGGCGTAGTGGTTACAAGACCGATGGCGGCGTTTGCGGTCGGATCAGTGGAAGAATTATACTTAAAGTCGAGTTTTCTCTTCAAAGAATCTAATTACCTGCGTTCTTAAGACTGAAATTAAAAAAATAGCTCTAAGTAATTAAGAACTACTGCATTTTTAAAGTCTATGACTCAGTGCCGGGCTTAAGTCGAATCGAAATGATCTGGCCCCGGTTGTTCGAAGATCGGATAACGCTATCCACTGTATAAATCTCTATCCGGTGGATAATGCTATACGTTTTGCTATCACTTATCCGCTGGATAGCGATTTATCTGTTGGATAGCGTTATCCACCCTTTATACAACTGGGCCCTGGAAATTAATGGCAAAGTTCAATGTGCGCTTGTTTTGCAAAAACGACTGTTATCATTTTCCAACCATAGCTAGTGTACTTGATATTATATACAGAATCCCCTGATCTGGTCAGAACTAATGTAAGTTGATTCTTATTCACATGTGGATCAAAGATGAATGTTGTTACAAGAGGGTCTCAATGGCGTGACAGCTTTTACAGCTTATAGTTAAAATTTTTTGCCATTTTACTGCCAACAGTTAGTCCGAAATGGCATTGAAGATAGGAAAAATTATTGACCGTCAACTTTTTTTTACGACTAAAGGTTAAAGTTTTTCCGGCAATTTTTTACGACTAACGGCGAAATTATTTTGCTGTTGTACGGCTAGTTACAACGGTTCACCAAATTGAGAATCTCTTATAACTTCACTCAGTAAGTACGCACACTGTAAGGACTGCTAAATTAAAAATTTTGTTTAAAATGAAATCCTCCCCCTCCATTTGAACGCAAAGATATAATAAATATTTTACTAAGATCGCAGTCGTTTCTATATTTTGCGCTCGGATTTATAACCCTCGTGTCTGGGCCATAAATCCGAGCGCAAAAAATCGGTCTATGACTTACTAGACGAACCTCAAAATCGGTTAGTCACCAGAATTATTTTATTCAAGTAAGCAGCCGCCGGTGCAATACTGAAGACCCAATCGATAGTAAAACATGTCCGTTCGGTTAAACCATGATTCTCGTGTCGTTTTTGTCTTTCAAAAGCTAAACAGCAGCACAGAAAGACTTTTCCAAGAAGATGCCATCATCAGGAATCTGATTGACGTTATCAACATCACTATATCCTTGAAGGTATCAAACTATGATTCTTTGATCACTTCTAGGGAACCTTAAAGAAAGCGTGGCAAAACCACGATCGATCTATTTCTGGTGCAAAAAGAAATCAAAGTGCTCTGTGAGCAAACTCGTGAATTGACACGTAGTTTAATGTTAGGGAATTTTGTGGTTGATTGTCATATCTAGAGTACGAGCAGTAGTCCAGTGTTCGCTAATGTAGCAAATAAACAAAGTAAAGTTGGGATAAGAAGGCATTACAATTGAAATGATCATGCTATTACATTTGACAAGGGTGGGTGATGTCGTGTTTTAAACGTATATCAATTTTTGTTTCTGGTTCAAAAGAAAAGGTTGGAAGTAAATGTGGGTGGAAAGTGAAATTTACTGTCTATCATTGTAAATATTAGAAGATCAAGGCAATACTGTCTTAATGAAACATTAACGATTCCCTCTTTATTAAATGAGACAAACGGGAACGAGTTTTGAGTGATATAACTAAGCCAAGACTGCCACCGTCATTTTGGATCTCCGCCTGGGTAGATTTTAGTCACGTGCTAGGCAACGTATAATCAAAAACAAGATAGAATTTCATTTCAGGCCTATTTATCAATTTTGTGGTGTATAACTTTCGCATTTTAGTACGTAATATTTATTTTGAATCTTCAAATTGTCTTGAAACTTAAAAGAAAATTGTTCCTTAAGAATTCACTGAAAATCGGTAGCTAAAATTGTTTGTTTAGGTGTTATTTGATTTTCGTGTTAACTTGTAATTTCGTCAGTCGCCGGCATCTTTTGTTGCTTCACACAGGAAAAACACACGATACGAAACGTAATGATCGAATTTTTCCTCAGTCTCACGCCATAACAGAAAAAGCTTTTGCACATCTGTTAACTTCGAGCGCTTCGCAGTAAATGATATTTTCAATGAATCTTCGGATTGTTTTCAAGTTCAAGGATTGTAAATTACAATTTTGTGAAAAGCGAAGGTTGATCTGTTATTTCAGTGTGAATCCTTGCATGCCTGCCAGTCGCTGGCGCTGCTTGTTGAAACTAAAACGAACCAAAAAAATACCCTTTTAAGATTATCATTGGCTTCTTTTTCACCTCACCACTATTCTTAGCAACAAAGGTCGCCATTTCGTTTGTTTATTGCTCACCAAAAACTATCAAATGCACTCAAAAGCCTTAAGTCGAAAAAAAGTTTACAGGAATCGACCAATCGAGCGAGCGAGCGCCATTCTCCACATTATATCTACAACTCGCTCTTGCGCATGCGCGCAATTCACGAGTTAAAAAAGAACCTTCAAGATCACATTTGCTCTTTTCCCTGTGGACACTATAAGGACACCCTTAAATGACAATGATTGCCTATTCAAAGTGATCATCATGGGATGGCGAAACTCCCAGTGGTCAGATTAAGAGGGTTATAGTACCATAATATTACTATCAATTATATTTTTTTCTTGTAGAAGATCAGTTCCTCAGCTGTTTAGAATGTAAAATTATAGGTTATGGTGCAAATACTCAGTCAGCCAAATTAAAATGCAAAGCATGATGAGGCAATCCGTAACTGGGCTGGACAAAATAAACTACCTCTCAGTAAATGAGTGCTCTGAATCCTAAAGGTTCCCTCAAGATGATATGGAACATAATTTTCTATCAGAAGTTATGAGGACTTTCCCATCTTTGTTTTCGATTTTTCATATTATTCTTATTGTGGTCGTCGTTGTCTCAACGAGGATCACACTGTCAATAATGCCCTTTTGAAATGACTTATTAAATGTGATAAAATGCATGTATACCATCAAAAAGTACTTTTAATGGAGATATCTGTGTATCAGCTAGAGAATGTGAGTGAGCTCCAAGGCCCCGTCGGACAACGCGGTTTTAATAGGCAAGGACCTGTTGGACCAGCCGGACCACGAGGATTTAATGGAACAAAGGGTATTTAGGGGGTAATAGGTTCACAGGGTATAAACGGTTCACAAGGACCACTAGGGCCACAGGGACCCAACGGGGCAGGAATCTTCTCCCAGTGTGAACACAAGAGCAAGAAATTGACTGGAAGGCAAGCCCCAATCACCAGCAACAGTTTACTGATCCCAACTGTTATCCTGGGTGAACCAAGTGTAAGTAAATTTAAAAAAAGGAGATTCAAAACTATCATTGATGACAAAGTGTTTAGGGCTGGTTGTCCAACTTCTTTGCCTAATCTTAACGCAGATGAATTCCTGAGTCCTTAAATATAACTGACGCAAAATGCCAACATTGAATCATACATGCTTACATGATTGGACTCTGCAAGTACGTTGAATGTAAACTTAGGTCGAGCTTCTTCATTTCAGTTTATTTCTCTCCTTAACAAAAAAAAATTCTCCATAAAGCAAGAAAAAGAAAAGAAAAGAAAGGAATGGATGAAAAATATAAGAAATGTGATGAAAATAAACATGACCGGTCGAATATGTATTTCCCCTTTAATCAGTCTTACAATCCAACTTTACTTTTTATTCCAGGGTACGAAGATAGTTGGTGTCTCATGCACAACAGACTATGCTCAGCTTTATCTGCTCTCGACCGAAATAGACCCATCTAAGAATGATTAGTTGCTCTACTACTGCAACTGTTATGGTCATCATGGACGCCCTAGCTTCTATTCAGTGCGTCATGCATTACTGGGAATGTCCGTTGACCACATGAACCGAACCTTTCTGTAACCTGAGCTCATGCAGCGCCCAAACCATTAGCCCTGCTCAACTACTTATACCTTCCTCCCTGCATATATGCAATAAGTTTCAAACAAAGGCAATTGTTTTGAAATTACTTTATTTTTTTTTCCTGTTCCATTGCTTTAAGCTAGTAAGTGCCACTTCCAATTCTGATTTAAATCACGGTGATTGCAATCTTATGCTACGTTTACTATGTCTTTTTTTCTCTATATTTTTATTAATCATTTTTTTTTTTTATGATTCAATATCACCTGACGCTTCATGGTTAAAGGTTATGGGAACATGCTCAGCCTCGGAGTCTGGGTCCTGAAACTTGCTGCATCTTAGGTCGTCTGGACCTGTTGGGTACTCACCAGTCCAGTACAGATACTGAATCCACACGTTCATTTTTGTGAACACTGAACGCTGATGTTTAACAGAGGAAACAGTTAGATAAATCGCAACCCTTAAATATTGTAGGCATCAGTTATCTTTCCGTTCATTTTATCCGTTTAACGTTTGGACTGCATGCGCGATCACATTCGATTTTGACATAATTTGGTACACGGCTTTAATTTATGACCCTTGTGGCTATGACAGGTAGCCAGTACTCCAATCTCATTCCGGGAAAAATTAACAATTATTTGTTTGAAAATGGAGGGTAAAGGATAAGGCTGAAAAAAAGATTGTTTCCTATGTACATGGCATCTACGAAGTTTTACAATGCAATTGTTTGCTCCAATTTCCTTCCTAAGCATCAGACAAAATATTCTCTTGGCTTTAGTCACATCTAATTGCTTTTAAAAAACGGATCGGAAAAAATCCAATAAAAATAGGCAAAATGCATATGAAGGAAGAACCTTTTTTTACAGCTGAAAAGTACTTTAATTTAGACAAGTAAAACGCGAAATTTGACATTAAAATATTAGTTTTTCTCTGCAATGGTGAATTAACGCTTGTGGAAAATTGCAAGCCTGGAACACTTGGGGATTGTCTTTACTTTCGGATGCCCAAAAACTTCTCAGTCAAATCTAATAACTTAAGCTTACATCAAATTCCTTGCAGTTTTCGTGTGTTATGCGCGAGCCACTGGCTTTACAGGGAGTTTTGCTGTCAATCGGCATGGTCATTTCGTAGGTTCCAAATGGACTCCGGCATTCTTCTGCTCCAAGGAGTGTGTCATCACACGGGGAACCGCTGAGATAATGGCAGCACATCGGTTGAAAGCGGTCATCGTCCTTGCCCATACAGAAGAGAGAATCCTCTGAAAATTTGGGAAAAAAATATTTTACAAATAATTTGAAACCGGATGTCTACTATGCACAGACTTATCTAGGTTATAATAGAGGCGTTTTTTCAAAACGCTCCACGCTCCGTTTTCATCACCGTTTACCAAAAGAATGCGTCGAAGAGCGAGAACGTATTGGTTTGGTCAGAGTCTAATCTCCGTTCTGTAGGATGTCACGCCTTGATGATAGCGTTGCGTGACGCCTGGAAGAAGGGCTTTCGTGAAATACAATGTGATGTTAGCCTTATCATTACTCACTGTTTCCTTTTGCTTTTTCTTTGTTGCATCCTTTGGTATTAGTGATTGCAAATCGGTCGAATTCTAATGTCCGCCATGATCCTAAAGGCTGCCGGAATTCCCTGACATTCCCGTTGCCATCTCTAAAGTAAGAGCCACTGAGATGTCTTAATTTAAGATAAACACTCGATGGGTAATCACCGCTTTGAGATTCATCACCTTCTAGCTCAACGTACATCTGAAAAAGAGAAGACGAAAACAGAAAACAAAACAAAGCAAAAAATCATACAGATTAGTGTGAACATAACTTAATTCTTATAGACAGTTAGAAAACTTAGACTGAACGTTATCTTTCAAATTTTCCATTCGCACCAAGGCTTCAACATGTTTTAAAAATTTGTTTTGTTAAATCACGGCTTTACACTGTTTTTCATTAAGAGTTCCTTAAACCGATGTTTGCCGACTTCAAATTAAGTGCACTGAAAATGCGTGTTTCTGACCAAATAAACTACATGGAAAATCTGGTTTTTCAGGTGTCTGTCTCTGATTTTCATTCAGTTATAAATACAGTTTAACACGGCTAAACTAACTATATTTTCCTGGTCTGAATGGAGTATAACAGAGTCGTTACGAGAAAAACAACTTTGAAATACCATAAGAACAGTTTACTCACAATTCGCCATTAAGCTTTTGAGAGTCACCCCTGAAAGGAGAGCATCATGCCCAAAAATATTCCTTGGTTTTTTCATTATGCTCCATTTAATAACTAAATTTAGGATTGTTTGAGAGCCATGTGTGTTACTGAAGAGATTATAAACTGTATATAATTATTATTATGACATTATGGCCAGAGATATGTTAGCAAAATTTATTTGAGCCTAGTTATTACCTTCAAAAGGCGGACGTTATAACAGAGATCGCAGCTATCTGAAATTTTCAATGAAAACCTCGTAGTGCCCTTTTGAAGTTCGTCGAACATCTACAATAAACGAAGAAGAAACTATAAATAAACAGTTTTATAGCTCTCAAAGATGACATTTAATCCAGAGATTGCTTCAATAGAAATGTCTGAACTAGCATATAAATATCTCCCACAGCAACAATCGAAAAAAGATAGCAAGCCAAAAAGAGAGCTGGTAAAGTTTTCTCAGAAAGACAAAATTAAAAATTAAAAAGTCGAATAAAGGAAATGAAATTTATTTTTAACGAGGTTTTGACTGAATCCGAAGGGGCTAAACAACCAATAACCGAATGAACTACCGAACGGAAAATTAAAAAAAAAAACAAAAGGGAAAACAAGGAAACAGTTCAAAACGCATCAACAGCAACATTAACAACTGCAAAAAAACAACAAATCTTTTACTGTAACAAAGATAAAAGAAATACTCCACATACCACGTTGTCTTTAGCACTGTCAAATGTCCATTTATGCGTGGTGACTGTGTGGCGAAATTTTGTGAAGCATCGCTGTCCCTTATTTTCGATATTATCGATTTCTTGAAGTGCTTTTGTAAGCTCTAAAACCCCTTTGAGATTTCCTGTTCCCTGCGCGGCTAACACCGCTCGCCGTTCGAATTCTGCTAATTTTTCCTGAACAACCCATAGAGAGCGAAACTCGAAACCTTTGTACAACTGGTACAATTGTTGGGCAAATTCTGTTTCTATATGCTGATAGGAAGTAAGTAAACCATCCAGAAACATCTGCTGTGTGCTTTCAGCGATGGGAGAATCTGAAAAGAAAATATACTATTATTAGGCCTTTGCTTTTTGTAAAATACAAATGCACCATCTTGCTAATTAAACAGAAATTATGAAAAACAGCGGTTGTAAGTTAGATGAATTTGGAAAACGAACCTGTCACGTTTAATATTCGTTTTCCTGCTTATTTAAGGAGAGAGGATCATCAACAGGGAAAGCGTGAAGCGACGTGGCCTTCAAGCTTAACTTGATGGGACATTTTGGCCAGAATGTATAGCCAAACATGTCCTTCTGCATGTGCACGACCCTGCGTGCGATCATAGGCGCAAATATCATTGTTATAAAAAGAGGTAGCATGGACGCGATGTATAATCACAAAGATCCTTACCACCAGAGCTACGAAGGCTTTCGATTTCATTTGCTGTCTCTTCTAAGTTCAGAATGTCAAAGTTATGTCCACCGATTTCGTTATCCAAGTCCATGACCTTTGCTATGAGATCGATTCTTGCGGCACCAGCGATAAAATATCGTTCGATCTGTTCTTGAAACTTTGCCGAGTTTCGGGGTTTTGACCTCTCATCCAGCAGGCAAACAAGGTCCGCTGCAAGTCCCTCTTTGTTCATTTCCAGATTAGCCTTTTTATAAGAAGGTAAAAAAAAAAAATGTCATGAGCCGGATATAACTTAGGAAACAGCAATAAAGCTAGGGTCGAAGAAAGAGGCGCACAGACAAACACACACACACACAGAGTCCGAGAGACAAACAGAAAACAAAACAGGTAAAAGGGTAAAAAGAAAGACAAAGCAAATAAAACTCAACGATTAAATCAGTACATAAACAAACAAACAACCAAACAACAAGCTATTAAGAAACACAAACATTAGATATTGGAGATGCAGCATATCCATGTTTACCTGCATTACTTCAGGTACAGCAGCCACATCCATTTTGTCAAAATCCAATTCACTTGAGTCTTTCAGGGCAGCATAGTCCTTTCCAAATTTCAACCATTTTTCTACTTTATCTAAATTACCCTGAAGTTTGCCAAGGTCACATTTGCCAGCAAAATGCCCAATAACTCCGAGGGCTGATCCAAGGGCGGCAAAAGGATCTTTTCCCATTGCACCACTAAAGAATCCTGTTATTCCCTCAAGAATGACAAATAAGTCGTCGCTGTTAAACTTTGCTTTTTCGTACACGTCTGGAAGCATCGCTTTTGCTTCCAGCAGATTACTCTTCATGCTTGCCTCCAGCTCACCAATAGCCTAGTGCAACGAAGAGGAGAGAAAAAAATTACAACATTAGTGCAAGAACAATTAAACTAATACAAATTAAGTATTATTTT